AAAGTAACTCCAACAATCTTAGGAAAAGGAAAACATAACCTTAACTACCTAGGAAATCAATAAATCTAGTACCAAAATATATGAAAATAAGTTAAAACCAATCTTGGATAGAATCTTGAAAGTCGCAAACCAATCATGGATAGGATCTTGGAAATCTTGAAGGCAACTTGCAAGCAACTTGGCACCAACTTGTACCCAACTTATATCACGCCTATTGAACCTTTCTTGGACAGAAAGTAAGTCCTTTTTATGTTATAAAAACGTGGCTTCATGTAGGACTTATTGGGCTGCAAATTTGGACATATATTTAGGTGCCAAATAGGTCCAATAGTGGCCTGATTTGGACCTTCTTCAGAGTATGTCTCTTGGGATCTAATCCACCTTTTCTTGGACATGAATTTGGACCATAAAATAATTATAATACCTAGACAACTCATATCCTTTATCCTTGAGCTCTCCATCCCAATTAACAACTTCTTTATTTGCACTTGAAGTCTAATGACCTTGTTTTGCAACTCTTTAGCTTGACATCTTGTTAAAGGCCCTCTTTGAGATTCCAAAGCTTCATTATTATCCTTGAATAGATTTGAGCTTCCTAGGATACTATCAAAGAAGTTTGACTCATTCATGAAAAGTCAAACTTACGGAAAGACATATTCTGATCCATGTGTATACTTCGAAAGGTTTTCTGACAATAAAATTTATTATTTTATTATTGTATGTGGATGACATGTTAATTGCAGGAAAAAATAAGGGACTGATCGCAAAGTTGAAGGAAGATTTGTCCAAGTCATTTGATATGAAGGACTTGGGCCCAACACAACAAATTCTAGGTATGAAGATAGTTTGAGAGCGAATAAGCAGAAAGTTGTGGCTGTCTCCAGAGAAGTACATTGAACGTGTACTGGAACGCTTCAATATGAAGAATGCTAAGCCAGTCAACACACCTCTTGCTAGTCATCTAAAGTTGAGCAAGAAGATGTGTCCTACAACAATGGAGGAGAAAGGGAACATGGCTAGAGTTCCTTATTCTTCACCAGTCGGAAGCTTGATGTATGCAATGGTATGCACTAGACATGATATTACTCATGCAGTTGGTGTTGTTAGCAGATTCCTTGAAAATCCTGGAAAGGAACATTAGGAAGCAGTCAAGTAGATACTCAGGTACCTAAGAGGTACTATAGGAGATTGTTTGTGTTTTGGAGGATCTGATCCAATCTTGAAGGGCTACACGGATGCTGATATGGCAAGTGATCTTGATAATCATAAATCTACTACAAGATACATGTTCACATTTTCAGGGGGAGCAATATCATGGCAGTCGAAGTTGCACAAGTGTGTTCCACTCTCTACAACTAAAGCAGAGTATATTGCCACTACTGAAGGTGAGAAGCATGCTCAGAATGGCTAAACTGCCTAAGTCATTCTGGGATGAAGCAGTTCAGACAGCCTGTTACCTGATCAATAGGAGTCCATCAGTTCCGTTGGCATTTGAAATCCCAGAGAGAGTTTGGGCCAACAAGGAGGTGTCCTACTCGCATCTGAAGGTGTTCGATTGTAGAGCTTTTGAACATGTACCAAAGGAGCAGAGAACAAAGCTGGATGATAAATCTGTTATGTGCATATTCATCGGATATGGATATAAAGTGTTTGGATATAGATTGTAGGATCCTGTAAAGAAGAAGGTCATTAGAAGCAAAGATGTAGTCTTTCGAGAAAGTGAAGTTGGAACTGCTGATGATATGCGAGAGAAGGCCAAGAATGGTATAATTCCTAACCTTGTTACTATTCCTTCTACTTCTAACAATCCCACAAGTACAAAAAGTAGGACCGAAGAGGTTGCCGATCAGGGGAGCAACCTGGTGAGGTTATTGAGCAGGGGGAGCAACTTGATGATGGTGTCGAGCAAGTGGAGAACCCCACTCAGGAAGTAGAATAACCTTAACCTCTGAGGAGATCATAGAGGCCAAGGATAGAGTCATGTAGGTGCCCTTCTACAAAGTATGCCCTTATCAGTGATGAAGGGGAGCCAGAAAGTCTTAAGGAGGTGTTGTCTCATCCAGAAAAGAATCACTGGATGAAAGTCATTCAAGAAGAGATGGAATCTCTATGAAAAATTGCACGTACAAGCTGGTTGAACTTCCAAAGGGTAAAAGACCACTCAAATGCAAATGGGTTTTTAAACTCAAGAAAGATGGAAATGGCAAGCTTGTTAGATACAAAGCTCGATTGGCGGTAAAAGGCTTCGAGCAGAAGAAAGGTATTGATTTTGATGAAATTTTCTCACCTGTTATCAAAATTACTTCTATTTGAACAATCTTGAGCTTAGCATCTAGCCTGGATCTTGAAGTGGAGTAGTTGGACGTGAAAACTGCATTTCTTCATGGAGATTTGGAAGAGGAGATCTATATGGAGCAGCCAGAAGGATTTGAAGTAACTGAAAGGAAACACATGGTGTGCAAAGTGAGTAAGAGTCTTTATGGGTTGAAGTAGGCATCAAGGCAGTAGTACAAGACGTTTGACTCATTCATGAAAAGTCAAACTTACACAAAGACATATTCTGATCCATGTGTATACTTCGAAAGGTTTTCTAACAATAAATTTATTATTTTATTATTGTATGTGGATGACATGTTAATTGTAGGAAAAAATAAGGGACTGATCGCAAAGTTGAAGGAAGATTTGTCCAAGTCATTTGATATGAAGGACTTGGGCCCAACACAATAAATTCTAGGTATGAAGATAGTTCGAGAGCGAATAAGCAGAAAATTGTGGCTGTCTCAAGAGAAGTACATTGAACGTGTACTGGAACGCTTCAATATGAAGAATGCTAAGCCAGTCAACACACCTCTTACTAGTCATCTAAAGTTGAGCAAGAAGATGTGTCCTACAACAATGGAGGAGAAAGGAAACATGGCTAGAGTTCCTTATTCTTCACCAGTCGGAAGCTTGATGTATGCAATGGTATGCACCAGACATGATATTGCTCATGCAGTTGGTGTTGTTAGCAGATTCCTTGAAAATCCTGAAAAGGAACATTGGGAAGCAGTCAAGTGGATACTCATGTACCTAAGAGGTACTATAGGAGATTGCTTGTGTTTTGGAGGATCTGATCCAATCTTGAAGGGTTACACGGATGCTGATATGGCAGGTGATCTTGATAATCGTAAATCTACTACAGGATACATGTTCACATTTTCAGGGGGAGCTATGTCATGGCAGTCGAAGTTGCACAAGTGTGTTGCACTCTCTACAACTAAAGCAGAGTATATTGCCGCTACTGAAGCTAGCAAGGAGATGGTTTGGCTGAAATGGTTCCTTCGAGAGCTTAGACTACATCAAAATGAGTATGTCGTCTATTGTGACAGTCAAAGTGCAATAGACCTGAGCAAAAACACCATATATCATGCAAGGACGAAGCATATCGACGTGAGATATCACTAGATTAGAGAAAGAATAGATAATGGATCTATACAGGTCTTGAAGATTTCTACAAGTGAGAATCCCGCAGATATGCTGACTAAGGTGGTACCAAGAGACAAGTTCGAATTGTGCAAAGAATTTATCACCATGCACTCAAGCTAGAAGTGCGGTGTTACCCCCTTTAGGTGAATGTGTCCGGAGGGGGAGATTTGTGGGGTCCATCCCCATAATGAAATAAAGAAAAAAGGAGATTGTGGGGTTGATCCCCATAATAAAGAAGAAAAAGATTGTGGGGGTCCATCCCCATAATGAAGAAGAAAAATCTGCAAGATGCCAAAATTAGTAGTTGGCACCGAAACGCGTTTTTGACCAAAATTGGTTTTGGTTACGACACTTCTTCCTATAAATAGAGGCCTTCAGCTTCTCATTTAATACACCAATCTTAGAGGAAAAATATATCTGAGAGTTAGAAAGAAAGAGTGAGGTTTCACAGATAGGGTATAAGAAAATAGTCTGTGAGAAAAATAGAGAGTGAACAATATTGTAGTGAGGTGGGAATATCAAAAAAAGGTTATTTCTTTTGAGTGTTGTAGTAGTGTTTGGAGTATTTTACTTGGACCTGCAAAATGTAAAAATTCCTTGCTATAGTGATATCAGTTGCTCCTCTCCGGGCAGTGATTTTTTTCCTTATTCAAAAGGGTTTTCCACGTAAAAATCTTGGTGTCGTTGTCACTCTTTTATGCTTGTTAATTACCGTATCTCGGTGTTATGTTATTATTCCGCTTTTATTATCGTGAATATTATTTATGTAGGGGGTTTATTCCCAACATAAGAAACATGTTACTGGTCAGTTACAATTATCTTATTTGTATAAAATGAGAAAATAAGTTGAATACAACAATAATGTTAAACATTTTTGGAGACATGTTTTTCTTGCCACGTTTTTACAAACATATAGATAATATCATTTTAGTCCCTCAATTATTGATAAATTTTTGACTAGGTACTTTTAACCTTCAATTCATGAGAATATGTGTTTCGATCCCTTTATATAGAAAATATATTAAATTTAAATTATTTTTAGAATTATATTATCATCAGATATGGAGTAACAATGCAAAATTAATATAATGCACATGATAGTCAAATGATGTAACATGTATAATTCGTTAAACTTGTGAAAATTTACAAGCAATACGATCAAAGTGCATATTTCAGTTAATTGACAATTAAATTCCTTATCACAAATGTTTATACTTATGACAAATGTCCACTGTAACACTAATAGTCTAAATTGAATGAACTAAAACAAGTTTTTAACTATGGTTAAGATAATTGAAGTACATCCATATTTTAAAACATAAATATTTTTATTAAGTATAAGGAATCAATAACTTCTCCCAACATTAATTAATATTTTGGTTCTTGACATTTGAACCGTAAACCTTTTAAAACACACATTATAGTTATTTGATAGTGCTAATTAAGCATACATAATTAGTCTTTCGACTAATCATACTCGACCTGCATATATATATATATATATATATATATATATATATATATTCTTTGTTTTGTTTACTTTCTCAAAGACTTTGATAGAGTTCCATAGACAGCCTGGGAGTAAGAAGAGGTTGAAGAGGTTTTCGAATATGATACTTGCCAACATAACAATCTTCAATGGCCTCTCGAGGTCCTGCCAAAGGACCAGGTGGGTACAAACGTAATGTTTCTTTTACTATGGCTTGTAAATATTTCAGGTTTTTTATGTCGGATTCTTCAACCCATCTGTTTCTTCCTACGTGCTCATCTAGCTCATCTTGGGCTATTTTCAGTATGCGACGGTCATTCATTAGCAGAGAAAGTGCCCATATTAGTGTCTCCGCAGTGCTCTCTGATGCAGTCATGATAAGTATCTGAGCAAATACACAAGTAAATAAGACGATATATAAGCAAAACTATTGGAGATTTGAAATGAAAATTACTCCGCTATCTTAATAAATTGAAAGATATATAAAATCTTTATAAATGATACAACATTAAGCACTCACTGTCGCTGTGGTATTAATATAAAAAACAAGATCTAGTTTAGACGTTCTGTCCCATTGAATATCAAATATGCGACGAATATAAAGTACTTCCTCTTTCTGATAATTTAGTTGTACGCACATAGAGTTTTGACAATCGGTTTTGTCAGTGTTCAATATAATGTTAACATAGATTAACAAGTCTGATCACTCTTTTTTCTGCATTTATTTAGCTATAAGTACAACACATGCGACAGATGGGAATATTTTGCATGTGAAGTAGGTGGTTTTTCAAATCAAAGAATTAAAAGAAATTTTGTGGAACACATTGAAATGAAGCGATAAATAACAACTTACCAATGTCGTTGCCTTGATAATGGCATCACGGTCGTATCCAGATACACTGGCTTCCTCTGGAAGAGTTGAAAGCATCACATCAATAAAATCAGATTGGTGATCATCTCCAGTAGTACTATTATCACAATCTTTTCTTTTCTGGATGTGTTCTTTTAACCAGATATCAAAAACACTATCAACTTCTTTAAAGGTCTGCTTCATGGCTTTAATGTGGCCACCAATATCCATCCATTCAAGCGATGGAATTACATCCGAAACAACGAAAGCTCCACCAAGAAGCAACGCTTTCTTTATTGATTCTTTGAATTGCATTTCCTTTGTTCCACTCTCTTCATTAACACTGCTCGAAAATCGCTTCCCAGCAAGCATTCTAATGATTATGTTGCACGTTATGTGCTCAAACCAGCTACTTAAGTTCACTTGTGTTGGGAAATTATTATTATTATTACAGAACGAGTACAATTCTTTAATACAACAATCCACTTCCGATGTACGGACATGCTTCAGTTTCTCAAGCCGGCTATTGGTGAAGAGTTCAAGAGTCACCATTTTGCGAATTTCACGCCAATATGGTCCATAAGGGGCCAACGCAAAAACAGCATCATTGTAAAAGTACTTGCTTAGTGTCATTTTCGGTCGACTTGCAAATATTTTGTCATTTGTAGTGAAGCAATCTTTAACCATTTCCCAACTGCTTACAACAAGAGCCGGATGGGTTCCTAGCTGAAGTTGAAAAATGGGTCCATATTTATCAGCCAAGAGTCCGAGGGTTCGACAAACGGGGACCTGGCCACTAAGAAGATGGAGGTGGCCTATGAATGGCCATGCACTTGGAGCTTTAGGTGCCCAAATTGATGATATACTACTACTCTTTGCAGTACTAGCTCTGTTTCTAATTTTGTATGTGTGAGCAACAAAAAGGGCTAAGAACCAAAAAATCAATAGTGCTAAGAAATGAGAGAGAAAATGCATGTTTATTATTAAAGGTAGTAGAATATTTGGAACTTCAAATTTTAGTAGCTCTCAAGGGTTACTACTAAGGAGATCAGAGTCTTTTTATAATTGAACTGAGGCGTTCATGGGGTTAGAAATTTCAGATTTTTTTTTTTGTTGGTTAAAATTAAAAGAGGAGGACCACACGCTTGACATCTACTGTCGAAGTGAATACCTTATGTACACTAAATATAGTCACTGGGACCTATGTGGCTTTTTGTTTCTTCTAACAATTCCACTTAATGTTGCTGCATTCTTTAAATTCCAATTGACTTTGAGTTTTGAACTCCAAACTTATGTATTATACTTAATCACATAAGAACATTTTTTAAGGAATATTAACCAAAAGGCGATAGATATTAGTGTAACAAACTTTTCTTTTAAATTTTGAAATAAGCTTTCAATGAAATTTTCTTAAATTTTGACGAGCTTACGTAAAAACATTAATAAAAAGAACGAAAATGATATTTTCGCTGCACGTCAATTTACTATGATTAGTTTCATGAGATCATTTAATTTTTATTTATTACACCAAAGTTACTATACCTTTTGTTTTTTGGTTGTTACCTAAGCTAAGTATAACAGAACTCACGAAACTAAGTTGAGTGACTCTCTGTGATATTTAGGCATAGTTAGAGTGGCCATCTTTCGTTACTAAAAAAATTAGTATAGTGATATTTTGGTACAATAATATAAAAGTTAAATAACTGGTCCCGGAGATTAATTACCCAGTTTACTCATTTGGTTTATTCACTTGTCAGTTTTCGTACGAATAGCCGATTACCAAATTAAAATAGATTTATTAGTTTGCTCGATTTTTCTTTGCCTTTTTGTTGTGAGATTCACTATTATGTGTTTTAACTCTTCTTTGTTGCTTCACGATTACAAATATTTTGTCTAGAAGTTGATATATCAATTGACTTATCGAATTGCTTCACAATTAGGCTTTTTTTTTTTATTATATAGTTGGTTGTATGGCTGTCAAATGAGCGGGTTGAACTCATTTTTGACGGGTCAAAATGAATTAAGTCAATAAATAGACGAGTCAATAACCAACCTAAAGTTATTTGGGCTGAGATGGACTGAGTCAAGATGGGCTAAAACTTGGGTCATAGTGTAACCCGCCCAACTCTTACCTAGCTTTAATTAATGTGTGTTGTTTTCTTATAAATTATTTAATTACCAAATAAGACTTTTTTTTTATGGTTATATATAACATAGCAAACAAAAATTAATTAATTTAAAGATATTTTAGCAAAGTTGCTTGTAGATTAATTTGGGCTAAAAATCAGTCAAACTTTAAATGATTTTAGATTGGTTAGGTCAAGATGAACTAAGTTTAATAATAGGCGGATCAATGAGCGGTCTAACTTTAGGGCGGGGTTTGGACTTAAATTAACACCTCTAATTGATCCGGCAAAATCTAAAAGCTTCCGATTGGTTAAGGTGAGAAAAACTGAATGATGCGTCCAGAAAAGGTAGTCCGACAAAGGAGCATAATGACAAAGGAGGCATTATCCTATGAACTTCCTTAACAACCTGTTGGTTGTTAAATTTTTAGAATTTTAAGGTTTTTTCTTGTGACGACAACGTCGTTTTTCACAGCTTGACTATAATGCAAGTGCAAGATTCTCCGGGATTGAAGTTACAAAAAGCTGCTCTGAAGAAAGCCAGGTTACTTAAATCTTGGCATCTCAATATCTAATGTAATTAGTAATTCGTGTTCACTTTGTGAGGGCTTTATAGCTAATTTATTTATTATATTGCACATTTATAGATATGCAAAATGCAACTCTAGGAAACAGAGAATTATATGTATCAGCCTGGCTCGATAGAGTAGATAGTCCAAAGCCAAATCTACTAAGAGAATTTAAACTTATTTAATAAAATTCATACTATATACTTTTATTTGAAACTTAATTTCGAACTCTGAAATGCAAAGTTGTTAACTTTTTAATAATAAATTTCTTCTAATTATTTCAATTGATTACATAGTGAATCCATTTAATTTTACTTGAGATATTGATAATTTTGGATAAGACTTTATTAATTTTAATTTTACAAAACTTCTTTCATTTAAGGCAATTGTTATAAAAAATATTAGCATTATTCTATAGGCAATATTGGCGGTTTAAAAAGAATCAAATCTTTATTTTGGATAATAAAAAATACATCAAACCAATTAATATCAAAGTAACTACTAATATTTTATAAAAAATTTCAAGGTTAAAATAATCTTTTTCCGGGACCTTGTCCAAAGTGTTTCTGGGCTAGTTTAAATGAGTAAGATGTTATGAAAATAATTATAATGTGAATGTCCATTTATTACTCCGCTATAGATAATCTTCTTCCGTTTGATACTCTATTGAAGTTTATCTACAAGCAGCTGATGCATGCAGGTTGCAAGCAACTCAATGAAATGATTTGCAGCAGCTTCTTATTAAACAGGAAGGTTGCAAGCAGCTCATGCAGACAACTTACAAGCAGCTCAAGAAAAGCCTCACAGCTGCTTCCTGAAAAGTCTCGCAGCTACTTCCTTTCTTCTATAAATAGAGGAGTTTTCAGTTCATATATACAATAGTTTGAAGTTGAATAATATATCAATCTCTCTATATATTTATCTTCGATTTATTTACTTTATAGTCTTTATTTTATAACACGTTATCAGCACGAGACCCTGCCATTTTGAGCACTTACTTCTTATTTAATTTCTATTTCAGTGTTCATTTTCGATGTATGGCGACACTCTTATGTTCGTGATTGGATCTTGTTCATTCCGAGCATCATAAGGCAAATTATATCCTTAAAGTGGTGAGTTTTTAATCTTGGCAGTAGTGATGTAGATATCACTTATTAATCTTGGCAGTAGTGATGTAGATATCACTTACATCTGGAGTGGCCAAATTTGCGTAATTTAATTTGAGCCTTTTGCTTATATTTTAATATCTTTATCATCGCTTGCTTGGTTATATGTTACGTATACAGTACCTATTTTGGTATTTGTTTTCATCCTAACTATCTTAATAAAGGATTACAAAGTGGATAACATTGTTAGATCTACTTAAACTCCAGAAGTGGTTACTACAAAGTTTGCAAGAAATATACAACCACCAGAAGTGGTTATATTTCGTATATCTCATTGTAACTAAATTTTGCTAACCACCAGAAGTGGTTATATTTCGTATATCTCATTGTAACTAAATTTTGCTAACCACCAGAAGTGGTATATGCCTATGACCACCAGAAGTAATAATTTAGGCTTTCTATGGCTACAATTAAAGATAAGCTAGAGAAATATTCTCTATATTACATGCACGCCTCGATTTGCTCCTGAAGTAGTAAATATTTTAAAAGAGCCTGAATCATCATAATTTGATGTGATTAATGCGCGTTCAAATAATTATGTTCGATTTCCTGAAGGATGAAATTTTTTGATAAATATTAATCCATTCCCTGAAGTGAATGTGATAATATTAATAAGGCCGTAAACATGAACGCGCTTTGGATGTAAATATATTACAGTTCACCTCCAGAAGAGTTAATATGATTGAGAGAATATAGATACTCAATATTTCGTATTTTAAATTTGCTCCTGAAGTAGGAAAATATTATGAAGAGGTATTTTCTTGTGCTTAAACAATTGTTTTATATTGTTTATTTGATTATGATTTTCTCTCATGATACCAGAAGTGTCTGAGCAATATTTGATAGTACAAAATGTATCAACAACTCCTGAAGAGCTAACTGTTTGTCTTGAAGACACATGACACCAGTAGTGTCTGATAAATATTAGATTGTGGATAATAAATGAAGGCTCTCGAAGAGCTTATATTCAAATATGTCATTCATATTATATGATTATGGTTAAAACATCTGTTGTAGTAAACGTGAAGTTTACTAATACAAATGGCTATCATATTGCGACTATAAATGACTAGAAGATTGAAAATCTTCATGTTTCCACAATCATAGGGGTTAAAATAATATGTATATGAGAAGTGACCTGCCTTATTCTTCAATTTGTACTATATCATGTATCATAGTAAACCAGAAGTTTACTAATGCAAAAATAGTCACAGTAAATCAGAAGTTTTACTGAGGCAAAAGTAGCTACTATAAACCAAAAATTTACTAATACAAAAGTAGCCACAGTAAATCAGAAGTTTACTAATTCAAAAGTTTATGCCATAGTAAACCAGAAGCTTACTAAGAGATATCGCATGCCATGATAAACTTGAAATTTTTATTTACCATTTTTAAATGAGCTATTTGAGAATTTAGATAAGCATATACTGAAGAACTAGAAGATTCTTCAAGAATTCTCTTGTGTTGCTTGTTCTCATAATAAATTGATTATACCAGCTAAAGTTGGGACTAAAATTCCTGAATTTTATAATATATAAAAGGTGAATATGGGCCCATTCACCTATCATGTGAACCACTTATAGATGCATATATGAAATGGTTATATGTGTGTTTATTGTCAACCTGCAGTTTGGCATTTGAAATTGCCTTTCACAATTAAGAGCATAATTTTCAGATTATGAAATCAAGATAGTTCATCTTGATGATGCTGGTTTATATCCAGGCTAGTTTAGCATTGAATACCTCCTATTAATGGCTAAGCTATTATTTATGAGAACAAAGCCTCACGTGTTGGTCTAAGATTTTCTAAATTGCATACAACAATACTTGTATGCATCAGACCAACAAAATATGATAAGTCCTCCCCTCACAATTGGTTTAGGATCAGAAACTAAATATTTTTACTATCTAATAACTTTTGATGTGTGGTATATGATTATTTATCTACCACAATGCACAAAGACAGGTTTCCCAAACATGATTGGGGATATGTGTTAGTTTTTCTAACATTTGGGGGATGAAATAAACAACTGAAAAATATGTTATATGAATAGAATTATCATTAATATGATCCTCACTTAGAAGATAATTCAAGTCAAATTCCAGAAGCATTTGCTGATCCAAAATTAAATATCATATTTTACCTACAAAT